TCCGCATATTGTGAGGTGATTATTATTCTCCAGTAAATTCACGTGTGCATCCGTAGGGGATGATGGGGAGGGGATCAAGGGGCATGCTTGGTGACTTAAGTGCTTGGCAGGGGGGAGGGAGCTTTCACATAAGCTGTGCATTGGAACCAGCTTATGAGAAGATCTACTGTTCAGAGTTTTCCGAGATACCAGGACCAGTTCGATCAGCCCTTGAACGAATTCAGGTTCAAACGAATCACACAATAATGTGAACTAAAGGACTAGTTATTCCATACAGTTCAACGGAAGACCTTCCGCAGTAGTAATGACCATGTTCTGCAATCATGAAGGGCAGGCTTGTCAATGTCATTGGCGTCTTCATAACCCTACAGTTTACCGATGAGACAGAGACAAATTCCGCGGTGGCTGGAATCGAAACACCGGCCATTCAATCGCGAGCTAGATAGCACGCCATGACAAGTCCCAATGAAGTGCGGCTTAACTTGCATCATTAGATGTTATCATTTGACGTGTCTCACACCATGTATCCTGCTAACACCATGTGCTGCACGCGACTTGACCTTTCCTGATGCCCCCCGCCCCCCCTCCCGCCCCTGCTGGGACCAAATGGCAAACAGCTGCGCTTCTGTCAAAAAACATAGCCTAACATTGATAGCAGTTGGATGCGCATGTGCGTACGAGCACATGCACTCGGCATGTGTCTTGCCGTATGACATATGAACATATGCCACTCGTACTCGCTTGAAATATGACACTCGTATATCTGTTGCCGTATGACATTTTGCAGCACATGCACTCGTATGTGTCTCACCGTATGAGATATGAACATATGCCACTCGTACTCGCTCGAAATATGACACCCGTGTATCTGTTGTCGTATGACATTTTGCAGCACATGCACTCGTATGCCCCGTATTTTGCAGAAACTTTTAAAAAATATTGGTTACGCCACTGCTGCTTCTTGACCTTTGCAAAATGCGAGAAGGTTACTTTTCGATTTGCAGAATATTTGGTGACAAATTTATTGGTCGTTGGTCGTCGAATTCGCCGTTGACGGATCCAGTCCTGTAACTAAATCATGCTTCCAAAATTATGTTGTGCTCTAAGAGGTGTTTGATTCGGAACCTGTTTGCATCCGACCCAAACTTGCCCCAGACGTAAGTGGAATATGCCTACAAATCGCACAGTCGAGATGTTCGCCTTAAAGTGTCCCGCGTACGCCAAATTTCACCAAAGTCTTGGAACACTCCTCATAGGAGTACAGCCTATGCAACCGTATTGCTATAAGGGTCAGTAGCGTGGAAGCCTTTTGGTACGTACTTTGGTCCAACAAACTTTATCCGTTACAAAATTCATGTTCGTACAATTGTTTATGAAGGGTGATGTGCGTGCAATTGCTGACCGCGAATGAAGAATGGCGCGCGTACAATGCTGCACAAAGAATTGCGAACGTACAGTTGCTTACGAAGAATTGCGTACGTACAGCTGCTTAGGAAGGATTGCGTCCGTGCAACTGTATACGAAGATATGCGTACAACTGCGTGGGAACAATTGCGCACCCTGCTTAATGCATTGCAACGTTTTCTATGCGAAGTTTTTCCCTGACAACTGTTGTCAATACAAATATTTCATATGCGTACTTTATGTGGTTATCCGCTAACGAACATCTGCGTTCGAGCTTTTGCTTGCGTACTTTTATCATACGAACCTTATACCTTACGTGAATTTGCTTACGAACAATTGCAAACGTACTTCATGCATACGTACTTCTTCATACCAGCTTTGTCATGTCGTTTGTCATGGAAGGACTTCTGCACGCCTGTGACACACTAAATCAAATATGAAGGAATAAAACGTTCAGCGCAATTTTGGGTCACGCCTTCTCCCATTGCCAAATCCTGCATGCACCCTGCTACTGTAACAAGATACATAAGTGAACTTGGCCAATTCTGCAGTTTTTGTTTTGGTTACCGTTAAACCCTCGATAACAGAACACCATTTGAGAGCCGAGCGTGAATGTACCTCCTGCAGGTGAAGTCAAAATATTTGAGGCAGCTAAAATCCAACGAATCTATTATAGCCTCAGGGCCCGAACAGCGTAACCAGGATTTCCTTATCGGAGGGGTGAGCAGAAAAGTCGACCAAACACGAGCTGGCACGAATGAAACCAGGTCTGAAATGTTACTGGGGTAAAAAAAAAACTAATTTCATCTGCTGGAAATGTATTAGGGCTCAGACGCAGCAAACCAGCGGTGGTTACGCCCATGCCAGTGTGACAAACTTTTGCTCCTTTTGCTGGAGACAACCAGGGATCCCTGGGACCCGTCTGGTCACGATAGTGCATTAGGCCATCCACATTTTGGGATTGTTCGACGAACTTGAAGCACACAATGTCTTTAAGCCCCTATGTTTTTAATCGTTGTCCACGCCTGGGGTTTTGGACCGCCCCCTCCCCCTTCCTCAGCTCTATTCACAATGCACTGATCTTCTAAAAGCATCTGTTCAATAGTGATGCCGATCATAAGGTGCTGTTCATGACATACTATGTCATTTGAAGCCATCGCAAGATGTGCTTCGTTGACACGGTGACCTCATTCCAGTTTAGTAGCAAAATCCCGTGTGCACTCGAAACCAAACTTGTAGGCGCGACTGTCGAGGTCAGCGCTTTTGTAGACGAAGACAGCGGCAGCATCGTTGCGGATCAATCCTTAACGCCACCGAGAACGCAGTGCCTGACCTTGGGTGATGCAATAGCGTAACACTTATTGACTGATGGCGACGCTGATAATTCGGAGATGTGTACGTATCGATTGCAATGCACTGTGCCGGCGCACTGGATGCATGTGAAAGGAAACTGCCCGCACAAGACCAGACGGGTTACATAACAGCGTCGGGCCCATCGATTTCCTATGTGGCCATGGGGGTGCCTCCTCCCCCGGCGCTGAACAGCCAGCGCCGCCACGCGAAGAGTCGGATCGCCATCAGGGCCCGCGACCGAATACATTCAGCTCCCGATCACCTAGCTCAGTGCGACGACACAGCTGTCGTCAGTGCTCCACTGTCCCAGTCTTGACCTCAGCATCTGAAAGCAGCACTCCGATCAAAGTATGTGCACATTCCACGCCACGACAGCAACCGTCCTTGAACTGCGCCAAGCGTGGTCTGCAAATTGCGTGCGCATTGTGGGTCGTACATCAACCAGCCCCTAGTGACGCACTGATTAGGCAGACCGGCTGACCCCTTAAGCCTGGGTATTGATAGCAGCGTCCCTTAAAGTAAAGTCACAAGAGTAGTAGCGTCCACTTGGCCCCGAATTCAGCTAGTCGGTTCAAAGACGGGCGTGTTACTTGTCGCGAAAGGAAGCCAACTGTGTCCAACTTTGCACTTTAAAAGCATTTAAACATTACTTGTGACTGCATTCGAACATAGCATTACGTTACCCAGCCGTTGCAACCCAACGCAATCCAATGATGCGCGTGATTATAGTCCCCTCGTCCCCATCCCCCTACAACCCCCAGTCTCGTTTGTGCGTAAAAGGCGTTCCGGTTTGGCTGCTTTGTCTTCGGAGCGGCGCCCAATTAACCTAATGCGTCAGCATTGTCCCGTTCGTGCACCGAACACCATAGTTAGCGAGAGATCGCAATCCTTTCATTTCGAAGGCGAGATCACACGTCTTGATACGGCTGCCCTCTTCCGACTATTGTTGGTGCTGTGTTCTGAAGCAGTCATATGGACCCTTTCATTCCAAAGACCTGTTCATGCTCAAAATATCGCCTTCCCTGTCCAGAATCCACGTTACCCCTCGTGAACTTGGCCAATTCTGCAGTTTTGTTTTGGTTACGTTAAACCCTCGATAACAGAACACCATTTAAGAGCCGAGCGTGAATGTACCACCTACAGGTGAAGTCAAAATATTTGAGGCAGCTAAAATCAACGAATCTATTATACATCAGCGCCCGAACGCGAACCGATTTCCTTATCGGAGGGGTGAGCAGAAAAGTCGACCAAACACAAGCTGGCACGAATGAAGCCACGTCTGAAATGTAACTGGGGTAAAAAATTTTTTTCAACATTCAAAAAACATTCAAAAAGCAAAAAAAAAACTAATTTCATCTGCTGGAAATGTATTAGGGCCCAGACGCAGCAAACCAGCCGTGGTTACGCCCATGCCAGTGTGACAATCTTTTGCTCCTTTTGCTGGAGACAACCAGGGATCCCTGGGACCCGTGTGGTCACGATAGTGCATTAGGTCATCCACATTTTGGGATTGTTCGACGAACTTGAAGCACACAATGTCTTTAAGCCCCTTGTTCCGGCTCGGCTCCGGCTCCGGCTCCGGCTCCGGCTCTTGCTACGGCTCCGTTGCGTTCCAGTAAAGCCCCCGCCCCCTCCATGTGCATGAGGGGCCGTCCACGAGTCGTATTATGCGTTGAGTCTTTATTAGATAACTTAGATAGCTCATAACTCAGTGGTGACAGATTTTCGGCGTGGTGGCGATCCAGCGAGGACTGCAAATGTTTGATGCACCATCATTTTTAAACAACATTTAGGGATAACAAGATAGCTCGCCATAATCTATCTACAATGTGGCCGGCGTGCCCAAGGTTCACATGACTCTCCGGAGCTTCCCTTCGCTGACATTCATTTTCAACATAGGTCCCGCCGAACCAAGACACCGATCGACTGGTGTGAATTATTCCCAAAGCGTATTCACATCAACAGAGACTGCCTCTACAACACGCACGACTCCGTCCAGGGGCGCCTCACGCCACACAGCGCGCGAGGACAACCGGTGCCTCGCACACATAGCAGAACAGGATCCAATCACAGACACGCCCGGCCAAATCGCGGCAGAAAGGCAGGCATATTCACAGCGCTAACATTTACAGATACCTTAAAGCGCACCGCGCAACTGGCTCACTCGGCCCATAGGAGCAGCGGTCTGAGCTCACCGCCCGTGCTCACCACCGGGTCTTCTCAGCCTTTTCCAGGCCTAAGCTTTAATGCTTCTTGTCCCCGCCGTCCTTGTCGACATTGTAGGTGATCCGCATCGGGACCGGGTTCTCCTCCTTCTTTTCTTCACCATGCGCTGGGCCCTCAATCGTGATGGGTATGTTCCTCGCCCTGTTGGCCACCGGCTTCTGCGCGAGAGGAGCCTCCAGCCTCAGATGACCCGAGCTGGTTAGATGCGAGGTTAGTTGGTCCACCCTCGCATCCTCCGGCGCCGTGATCTGGCGCACCGTCCTGCTGAACGAGTAGTTGTTTTTCGACTTCTCTTCGTGCTCAGCCCGGACGGTGATGACATTGTCACTGACCTTGACAACAACTTCGTCAGGCTCGTAGTGGCCGAGGTGCATAGACACCTGGAACTTCTCCGGCTTTCCTGGTCTTGCACCGGCTTCTCAAGCACATCAGCAAGTAGTGGAAGCCCCATCCACGGCCCAAGCCAGTACGCCATGTCGCCCATAGTGTCACTGCACGAGCTGCGCGCACGCGACCAACCGTCCGGACACCCCGCCACTGAATGGCCCTTCGACCAGACTGTCGCTTAAATATTCCTGCGCTTGACCTGCGAGAAATTTCCAGACGAGCCATGAGTTGATCTATTTCTCGATGGTACTCGGTTGTACTCGCGAACGGCGCGCCACCACAGCTGACTTGCCATTGGATCTTTGTGGATGACGTCACCAAAATCTCAACGTTCATTGGGTAAAGTATGACGTCTCACCTATTCAGAGCTTCCTGAGGAAACAGGAGGCTCAGAGAATCGAGAAAACTCTGGCGAGCGGCGGGGCTTTCGCGTCGGTCACATCGAAAGCACAGCCAGCACTACGAAATGTGAGGGCGCTGCTTGGCGGCTTGCCCTGGATTAGACAAGAAGTTTCGAAGCGATGGCGGCCTGACAAGACGACTTCACAAGCCGAGGCGAAAATTCTCGACTTCGCCTGTTAAAATGGAATCGATGCTCAAGGGGTTTGCAGTACCACTAAATTTCTGAATCGTTGTAATGCTTCATAACTGTGGGATTGATGTTTGGTACAGGACGCAATCGTCAATGCAACAAATAACAAGCATAAAGGTAGCGCATAGAAGAAAGAGCGTTGATGCTGATCGAGTACAAACAGGACCTCTGCTGAGATAAAAAAAAACGCGTTACGGATATCATGATTCAAAAAAATTCATTGGTACGTGCGTGCCATGTGTGTACCTTGCCATCATTTTGCGGTTTGAGGGTACATCAATTTGTATTGTGAACCGTCGTCCTGAAATGTGCCCTGTAGGAATACAGCAGGTGGTCAATGCCTACTGTAAACTCGATCAACTTCCCTCCGACCGTTCCTGCGTGTAGGTCACGTGGGTTCTGGCCTCAGGCTACACCGGCTGGTCAGTGCCGCTGTCGACTCGTGTGGGCACGGTGCGGCCAGACAGCTCATGGCGCGCCACCGGTAAACGCTGACGCAGACAGCAGGGGATGCGGCCGTCTCCTCTCCCGAGACATCTGTAGGAGAGCTGTAGGATACTGTGTGGCATCCTCCCGCTGCTGTTTCTATCACGTCTCGTCTCATGTCTTTCTGAAATGCCCCCCGAAATCGTGGGGTCCGGTTTTTGTCGAATAAATTATCTGGACCAGTTTTAGCTAGACCCTAACGAAAAGTGTTTGCGTATGACATTCGGTAAATCTCCAAATACTGGCTGACTGGATGTGTCACGTCCTTTAGCACGTAGCCCGAAGGCTCGTACAGCGTGAGTGATTAAGACCTCTGGTTCACAATAGCTGTCATGCAGAATCTGCCGCGGATTTTGCGGTCCTCACGGGTTGCGGACAAGGGAGGTACCGTCTTTTTTCTCTTTACCCACAGTTTTCGGGTCCATGAGGTTGAAAGAGTTGGCAATTACATGTCATGTCATTGGGGCTTTACGACGCACTCAGCTGCTGAGGCTATATGGCGTCGCCTGCCTCTCACCCTGGCAGGAATTGCGGGCACGTTAGCAATTCCAGTTCACAATTGCTGACTGCAGACTATGCAACAGATATTCAGGCAGCCCGCAAGGCATCAACGGACCGACAGCTGTCAAACGTGGGGTGGTGGCTCTACACCAATATATTGAACTGCCCAGCAAATCGCAATATTTGTTTTGCTGATTTTTATTGTGTAATCATCTGGAACAAAATTATGCATCATGGAACAAAATTACGTAAGTTTTTACGGACATTTGCGAGAAACATTACGTATATCTATTTATGACAGTTCTATCAGCCTTATTTCTCGCGGGGAAACAAGGAGAAAGCAGCGATAGATGCATTGACAGTTCGGCTACATACCTTTGTCGAAAAGAAGATCAGTAGCAGGACCGTGCAATAGCACAGAACCAGGACCATCCAAACCATTACCACGTGCAGGACAATTCAGACAAGAAAATAAGTGAATCCACTCTTATCAGAAGTCGGCGGCCAGACCTAAACGTATATGGCTCTTCATGCGAATTCGGATTAGTGGTTATTATGCGGGTGTGATAAATGACTTACGCGTGATGCGTGCTGGCTTGAAATGGTTTACATGCATGAGTGAAGCCTGACGCGTGAGGCACGATGTCTGTTGAGTTGAAATTGTTTGCAAATATTCGTAATGTGTGATGCGTGATGCCTATTTACTTGACATTGCTTGCTTGTATGAATGATGCGTGATGCGTGATGCCTGTTTACTCGTATTTGTTTGCATTTACACGCATTTTCGCGTGTTGTAATCCTTAGTTGGATATGCTCTGCATCGTAGTAATGGCTGGCAATTACTTCTTGTTAATCCCCTGCATAAGTTATCTTTGAAACTGTGGCTCGCTGCTTGAAAAAAGAAACCTGAAAAATCGACTGAGATCCAAAGGGAATTTTCAATTTGCTACTGACATCGGTTTCGATAAAGACATGCGGCCAAGATATCAATGTATATACACAAATATATATATATATATATATATATATATATATATATATGTATATCCCCGGGTCATTCTACGATGAATAAGGCTAACAGTGCTGTCTTACTTACGTCATGAACCAACAATTTGAACTTAGATCTTAGTGAAACAAATATGTGAAACCGCAGCATAAAAGATGTTCCCGGATTATTGAGTGCTTGCAAATGAACATATAACTAATTTTCATTGTTCAAGGAACGAAAACTTGCCTTTTTGTGGACCGATAACAGGATAGGTGTCCTTCATTAATGCATATTTCAGGAGACCTAGATCCATTGGGGCTGAAAATGTATCCAGGTAGCCCGAATTTCTTTCACTGTATGCATTCTAAAATTTTAGCCAATATTGCTTGGCTGTTACATCTATCTACCAATGTAGAACCTGTTATGCATTTCAACTTTATTTGCGAACCGCCACCAAGGGCACGGCTTTGTTGCCATGGTACGGCCATCCATGTCATGCAATACGATTTCACTTCATTAATACAGTGTTATTCTTTATTCGCGGCCAACGCCAGTGGACAGCCTACAGAAGAAGCAATCTACCGGTTATTGCTAAGTGTTAGAATGATGTTCCTCGAGCCCGTGTGCAGGCCTATGAAAATTGAGATAATTGCATATCAAGGATGATTCCGGATCCAATTCATTTCATGTATAGGCTGCACGTGCGTGGCAAATGCTGGAATGTTGGTGAGTGCCTCACGGCCGTGAGCTCTTTTGCTGGCGTTAAGTCAGTGACAGGCTTATGTTGAGGGAAACGTGTCAAGAATTTGGGAATGTTCTCAGCAAAACATGCAGTTTTACAAACAGAATGTCGTGTTCGACACATCCACATGTACGTGTAGGACATATCTGTTTGTATTTTTGAAGTAGTGTCCTCAAGGGACACCACTGACTTGCACAATGGCTGTGGTCGCTGTGTTTGTGCAAATCAGGGGCTCCATCCCGGAGCCCAACTCTGAAAAAACTAGGTCAAATCCGAGGAAAACATGCTTTTTGTGCGTTTTGACGGTATGTTTGGAGGCCTTTCCTTGCCGTCCCCCAAAAAATTGGTTTATGAAACTACACCCTGGCTAAGTTTACCTTTAAACATACACAACATAATTTTCCTAAATTTACTGGTCCACAAAAGCCCAGCATGTTTAGCCCACTACCAAACAAGATGCGTGCATGCCCAGGCTGGAAAATATGCTGGGTCAAGAAGCGGTTACAAGGATTCCTGATTCCTGGATCTTGGATCTTCCAGAACCCCGGATATACTTTGAATACTGCTGAGTGATGTTATGAAATCCGCGATCCCTTTCCAATTCTTTCAGAATAGCCTTCCAAAATCCCAGAACTTTTCACTAAATGTTGAGAAACGATCCTGCGGGATCCGCGAACTAATTTTTCAACAAGTCATTTTTGCCACCCAAAGGTAAAACCCCATGTATTAATTTTTGGCCGCTTTGCGCTTTTTATGTCATCTGATTCATCTGCTCATGCTGATTTCAATAATTTGAACAATCAGTTGAAATTTTCACAAACTTTTAGCTCATTCCTTTACCTAAAAGTGTGTGAAATTCCAACTATTGGTTTAAATATCCGAATGCAGCATGAAAAGACGAATCAGATGACACAAAAAAACAAAATGGCTAGAAATGACCGCATGTTGTTTTAACTTTAAACGGCAGATTTGCAATCTGGAATTTGTTGGGCGGGCGGCACCGAAGCCGAGATGCCCTATCGCGGGACCGGCAGGCTCCGACCGTCACTGGACTCCGGTCGTCACTGAACTGGGGCCGGCTGGCTCCGACCGTCACTGGACTCCGGCTGTCACTGAAGTGGGGCCGGCTGGCTCCGACCGTCACTGGACTCCGGCCGTCACTGAACTGGGGCCGGCTGGCTCCGACCGCCACTGGACTCCTTCCGTTACTGAACTAGGGCCGGCTGGCTCCCACCGTCACTGGGCTCCGGCCGTCACTGAACTGGGGCCGGCTGGCTCCGACCGTCACTGGACTCCGGTAGTCACTGAACTGGGGCCGGCTGGCTCCGATCGTCCCTGGACTCCGACACCACCCGCGCTCGCAAGAACAATGAGAGCGTTGGAGCCCCGAAAGCTATTTGCGTAGCATTTTGTTCCCACGATGTTGCGCTATACCCAGCCTTCCTCCGATTTTATATCTGGCCTGTTTTATGTCCGCTGGTGGAAGTTGATTTTGTTTGATGCATGCATTTTTTTTATTTGATCCGTACTTTCATGTCATGTTTCCGACACCAGTTTTGAACGCGACGTTGCGTGACCGGATTAGCCACTGCCGTGGCTCAGCTTACGTACAGTCGACAAATGACAAATGTTTTAAGTACGCACGGCCTGTCTTCGATGATGGGATAGCCATGTTCCAGCAAGAAAATCAGACTGGAACAGTGCTTTGGTCAGCAGGGAGTGCAGTACAGGGAAGAAGTGAGTGGTCAGTGAAACAGAAGGTCATTACAAAAATTCTGCACAAATTGCTCAATGAAAAGGCTTTGCTCCTATGAAATGGCGGGTTTCGCAACAAGTTTCTCTTATCAAAGCTGTTCTTGTAAAACGCTCGGTAAAGCTTATTTAGGCACAGATAAATGCGAAGGTAAAACACATACATCGCTGCATGCAGGTAATAATTTGTTCTCCCTCCAAATAAAGCTGTGCCGCCAGGCAGCCTATGGTCCTTTCTTTTGAGACTACATAAACCACAGCGCTTCTCTGAGTATGAGCAGACTGCAAACCACTTGGAACAAAACCCACCGAGGCATAGACACGTCAGATATTTGGTGACATAACGATTGCTCGAAAGGCACACTCCCGATTCGCCATTATAAGCACTTCAGCGAGCTAGGCTCGCACGCACAGATGCTGACCAGCTAGGCATCATCCCTAGCTCAGTCACAACAACCGCTGCATAGTACAGACTCAGCCAGGGACGCCGCCAGGAGGGGGGGACGGGCTGCCCTTTTGAGCCGCATCTTCTCACCACAGACCCCGACAGAACGCCATAAACCTTTGCTACCCTACCCCTAAAGAGGCGTGGCAGCAGCACCGACCACATGACCCCGCTTCTCACACTGCACCGCAATCTGGACCGCCTGCGCTCCCACAGCCGTGTACGCAGGCTCCGTCCGCTTTGCATGCTCGGGAGACGGCTGCTTGGCCTCCTGCTCGGCCTCTCAAGTCTCTGCCTTGGCCTCTGGAGCCCCAACCCTGACCCCTGGAGCTCCCGTCTTGGCCTCTGGAGTCTCCACCTTGATCTCTGGGGTCCCCACCTTGACCTCTGGAATCCCCACCTTGACCTCTGGAGCTTCCGCCTTGACCTCTGGAACCCCCGTCTGGTTCAGCGCCGGGACCGTGATCGCGGCGACAGGGGCCCCGATCACCAGCTGGCCGGCGCGGGTCAGGAGCGAGGTCACGCGGTCGGGGTCGACGCGGTGCGGCAGGACGAACTGCCGCATCAGTCGGTAGGTGGAGCCGCCGTCGCCCAAGGTCTCGTCACGTGCCGCGTGCACCATCACCACTCCGCTTTCCAGCTTGACGCTCATCTCCGGCTGGAAGTCGCTGACATTCATCGAGACGCGTTACATGTCCTCCTTCTGGACAACATCGGCGACGCAGTTCTCTGTCGCGTTGGTGCTGGGACCTTCGACGACGGCTTCCCCCTGCGCGGCGGGAGTCGCCTCCCCTGAGATCTCCGACCGCCGGTCCGCTGCCGGAGCGCTGCCCTCAGCAACAGCTGACCCAGCGTCCGGCTCTGACGTCACAGCCTTCTGTTTGTCGCCAGCTGAACCCATGGCTGGGGTGGGGGTGGCGGGCGGCGCCTCAAACACCAGCTAACCGGGACGGGTCAGCCGGGAGGTCACCCCACCGGCGTCCACGTGCTCCGGCAGGCGCACGCGCCGTATTAGACTGCTGATGATGACGCCACCGCCAGACCGCTCCCGGCGGTGAGCGCGCACCGTAACCACACCATTACCCAGCTGGACTGGACAGCTCAGGTCCTCCGGCCGAAAGCCGGCGGCGTTCAGCGCCAGCCGGAATCCCTTCATCCTGTCCTCGTGCTCCGCCTCGTTCTCTAGCTTGGCCTGGCTCGATATCTTACAGGACGAACACGTGACCGGGCACGTGAAGAAAACAGCAAAGTCGTGTAAGAGAGGTAAAACTGTTAACGGGGCCAGAAGGACACTTCCGTAATGCTAAGGGACGATCACAATATCGAAATAATCGAACAGATCATGAAATACCGTTTTCAGAAGGCGCACATGACCAACCCTGCGATCACGTGGAAGCTTTTGGCGAATATGACGATGTGCTTTGCAAGCCTATAAGGTACACCACTAAAATATAATGGAATAACAAGCGAAGACGTACACACGAGACTTCTTTGCAACAGCTTGACAGGGGCACCTGACTGTCCTCGTGCCCATGAAGAACAAACTGCTAGAGGCAGATGCATGTGACTATCGAGCCGATCACGCAGAAGTTAACGAGGATGATGCATATGCCAACCTTAAGCGGCTCCGCTGGAGCGGACGCCGGCGCTGAACGCGAAGCGAGACTTCCGGATCTCTGTACAGGGGCGCGAGGCCACCGGGGACGCCGAACAGAAGACAGGCGAGCGGAACTGAAGCGCTGCTAGTGGGGAGCGATGCTGATACTCAGGCGCGGATAGCGGAAGGACTGGATGGATGGCGGAAAGGAGAAGGTGGACGGCGGTGAGCAGTCTGTGCCTTGGTTTGCACTATCGACAGCGAGAGCCGCCAAAGACGTTTTTTGACGTTTGTGACGGTCTCGATTAGTGCGCGTTTTGCCAGGAAGAGTAAGTTTGTTTTGGTGGAGTCATCGGGACACGTTATCCGCATCTTGTGCTAGTATTTTATTCATGTTACACTTTTAGCTCGGGGCGAGTGAATCTGTGTTTGTGTCTAACTTGTTATGGCCGCGACGATCAAAACGCACGGATGGGTTTGCTTTTGCGTTCGAGGGTGCGTCTACTCGCTCTTGCGAGCTGATGTGTGATGAAGTCCGCGTTGTATAAAAGCACGAGCTAACTTGCTAATTTGACTGACCCATTATCAAACGGAGTGACTGCCTGCCACAACCCGATGGCTTCGTAACATAAATATATGATATGAAAATCCCCGGCCCTTCTGTAGCGTCGAACCCCTTACCATGTCATCGCAGTGGATATAAGAACAAAAGGATCAAATCGTGCCGCGGTTTTTACAACTAAAAGTGCTGTCAATAATGCTCAACAAGTCGGTTAATCCCCCTCCCCCAAGACAGCCATTGAATGATTACAGGCGTGCTTTAACTTGACCTGGATCGAGGCCATGATAGTTTAGCGTCACAAAGGCTCCTGCTGCTGTCCGTCTGCGGAATCAGCTGGCTGACCCGGGTCAAGGTCACACTAGTTCCGACAGCAGACAGGATCGATAATGGAGCTTTTGCGGGATCCAGCAGCTGCCCCACCCCAGGTCGAGTCCAGTGGCTCGCAGTATGCCACGACGAGAAAATGTGATTGTGCCGTTGGATTTCGATGGAATGCTGGGGAAAACTGTGGTTTTCTAGATGATCGTCAGCTTTCCTGCGCGCGAGGTCAAACTTCAGCGATGATGTAAAAATCCTGACGTGAACAATAATTTGACGCCTATCGTACAGGACGCGTGGCCATATCTATTAAAGATAATGTTCTGCACAAAACGAGCTGCCAAACAAGTGGTACTGGAAGGATGAAATTGATGTACTTCCGCTTTGCCACATTGGACAAACGTGGTTCCTTAAAAAAACGGACAAATTGGGGCGGCAACCTGCACCACACACACTGAAAAAGGAAGACAGCAAAATGCTTTATCAACTAGATATATTGTAGTACTTTCATCGATGCGATTGGTGATGGCCATCCACTATCTTTGCGGTTTTAGTCTTGATCGTCATCATTTGTCTCTGGCGCCTGACTATAAGACTTGCCCGGCATGCAAGCTTGCGACAGACATTTTAGTATGAAGTTGCCAAATGCCGCCTCACCGGCCGACTTCAAACAAGAGTCAGTCGAAGTGCTGGATTTGTCTGAGTTGGAAGCCACTGGTAGCTTACAGTCATCTCGAAATAACAGACTTTGGACCCATTCAGCGGAATGCTGATGACTATAGCAGCCGGTGACCCGCCACCTCTCAGTGGCATGATGCGCGCTTTGTTGCACGTGATGACCAGATCACACCAGATCTGATCAAAACCAGATCCACGTCCAGTTGCGCCAACCATCGTTTTTGACAGACGACATATGAATACTGATGCGAACTCTGCGCCTTACGACTCCTACGTCCCAACGTGATTTCCAGTATGCACTGGCTCTTTCCCGTTTTTTTTTTCTGCGCGACCTTTCAGCACCTACTTGCCTGATCTTGTGTCTTCTTTCCTTCATAGCTTGTTGCCATGCACCGGCACACTATGACATGCTTTATGCCATCGTTGTAAAAATGTGCTATGTGAAAATATGCAATGCCCCTGACGTTTAGTACAACGACAACAACAAAAAAACGCCAAGCCCGGAAAAGCAGACTTCCCGAGTCACGAAACTCATGCTGCATCCTAAGGACAGAAATCAACATCAACATGACGTTGTAAAATGGGCACACTAGTCGAAAGTGTGCTGCGGCGAGATAGCAAAATGCATCGTCGTACACTCATTTTTCTTTAAATCACTTATTTTACTTCATAGTGGGTAGTGCAGTGCCTAAGCGTGACCACAAAATATTTGCTACTCGTCAGTTGCTCGTTTATTGCGTTTTGTCTAAGGAAGGCTGGCAGAGTGTGATATCTCTTACGATGCATCGCCACGCCGCATGATCGCACCATCTCCAACGTTGGTCCTCTTGAGAGCAGCGCCACCTTTACCATGGCATGAACCGGTCGGGCTGCGGGGTGGTATCCTGTCTTGTACCGACTGCCAATGCCCTGCGGCGCCGAGACATAGTCGAGCGCCATCCAGCAGCGGCAGCCAGCTGCTCTGTGGTCTCACCAGAAGAGGCACGATTTTCCTCTCCTCTTGCTCGCCATTGCCGCCCTGCCGTCATGTCGCCCTTTTGTGAGGCGGAAGCAGGAAGGCGGAAGGTTTCTGTATCGAGTGGTGGGTTAGTGGGTTGTTTGTGGATTTTTTGTCTTGGTGCTGGCCGTAAGAAAAGCTTTGGTGGACTGTTTGACGTACGCAACGTAGCGATCGCCAGATTTTATGACAGATTATCAATATCAAGGCATGTAACACGTAACGCGTCAGTGGGACGCTCGCTAACGAAGACAAAGCACTTAAGAAGATGACATGCTTGGGTGATGCGTTACCTTGCTTACTCCTTTTTGTGCTCGTTATTAGCTAAGCCGGATGTTGGTATCCGTAGTCGTAGTTGATTTATGCAATGATTGTGGCATAGCGCGCCTCTGCTACTTCATTAAGGCTCACATGCGCACTTAGAAGTGCACGACGTCGAAGGTTCGAGGACGCGCCATCCCCTGTGTTTGGAGGCCGCCCGCCAGCGCCGCCCAGCGGCCCAGCGGTTTATAAACTGACGCACACTGCATAGCGTCAGAGAGGCGGACGCGGCCCGGCCACGACCAGCGTCGCGTGTACGACGCGAGCGGACCATGACCGAATATAGTTACCTTTTCACGCCGGTTCTCTGACGGACGATTGTGAAAAAAGAGCGCAAGGCACAGGAGTGAAGCGTTACAAGCACGATGTGCTGGGCTGCTGCCGTCGCTGCTGTACTGTTGATGACTTTGTCATTATGCTATTGTCGACCCATTGTTGCCTGCAGAGCTGTAGCTCTTACATTGATATCATGTGATGTGCACAGAAGTTGCTTTCTTTACTGTTTGTACCTGGAAATGCGGTGCCATGCTAAAATTAATAGAAATGTAACGTCGCCATGACTTGATTGCTAACGCACTGCTATTGCTACGGTAAAGATGGTAAGGATGGGCTGTCAATATTTTTTTTTGCTTAGGATTATTTATGCAGTTCTCAATTAACCCTGACATAACCATTGTGGTGCAATGGCATTCTTGCTGTTGATAGTTCTAGGTCATTGCTAAATAAGTTGTTACCAGTCATTCACAAATTATAAGCTGCTATCTCATAGGTTTGACAGAGTAGTCAACCAATGTGGTACACTGTGTAATAACACGGGTCAACAACTATGACACTACCCCAGTGCTGTACTGTGGCATGGCATAATGAGCAATAATGTGGTTTTTGTACTGCAATCCATGCTGCTTCCATAATACATTCCATCATGAAACGATGGGTCAAGTGCCCTCTCTTGTACTGATTCCCCAGCTGATATACGACTGACCAAAAACACATGATACAATGTACAAATCGCTTTCAGCAAAGCAGACAACCAGTAAGTGGCATCACTTGTTCAGTCTGTTTTGGGAATACACAAAGCGTAGGTGAAAAACATGCCAACACGTGCTCCATTTCCACAGTCATGCAACATGCTGCAGCCATCAGGCTGCTTTACTAAAAAAATGACATGAAAATTTTACATGTGGTGAAATGACACTGCAAACATGC